TTATAAATTTGATAAAATTAATTAATTGAATAAATATATATAATATTTAATATTTCATGTAGCCCAATTATTACATCATGAGACGACAACCAAGACGGCCTCAATCACATTGCGCATCTCAATACAGAAAAGTAAAATAAAAGTGGTTTATATTTATCAGAAAGTTGGACCTATGGCTCCATTATTTAGGCTCGTACTGACAACGATATGAAGGCTGTCTTTGGTTGTCAAAAAAAAAAAAACGAAAAACTTGTGGAGACTCCAGATTTGCCAAGCCCGTGAGCCGGTGGGGCATTTAATCAAGACTTTTCAGCTCTTCAAAGAGACAGTTGACTCCAAAGTCTTTGGCGGGACTTGAATTTTTTTTTTTTTTAACCTCAGAGGAATTGAATTGGTAGGAGTCGAATAATTGAACGGTGCTGTTAAGCTGAAAGAAATTGCAAACTGGGGCGAAGGAGGACGAATGCGTAGGTGCAATTGTTTTTGATCGGCGTGTTGGTACAATTTTATTGGTTTAACTAGGTGTTTCCTCCAAATCCTCTTTTTTTCGCTGCTTGTGACAAAAGTTTTTAAGTGTACTTTTTATTTTACTGAAAATAATAGGATAGAATTTTTTATGACTCTCACTTCTTTTAAATGTAACAATTTATTTAAAAATTAATAAAAAATTATTATTTGATTAAATAATTGTGCCAACAATTCCTTGATGTAATGATTGTCGTAGAAATGCCTGCAAAAAGGTTCAAAATTTGTCGCCATGTAAGAATATTAGGGACACCCCCACGTCTAGAGTCACGATAAAATTAGTTTATTAAATAAAATAAATAAAAATAAGAAAAAAAGAGAAAAAGTACCCTATAAAAATAAAAGATGATCTAAAACTAAGGTAATGAAAGAATATTAAATTAAAAAATATAATAAAAATTTTAAAATTTAGTTAGAATTAAAGATGGAGAATATTGATAGAAATATAAATCGAAACTAGCAAAAATATAAAGAACTAACTATTAACATAAATGAAATGAAACTAAAATTCTTACTTGAAATCTTAAAGAAAATTACAACTAAAAGTTGAAATATAAATTTATTAACAAAGTAGAAACTAAATCTAAGCAATCAAACAAAAATGTAAATTATTAGCAAAAATACGAAGTTTGCTGGTTAGAAAGGAACAACTATATTAAATTTAATTGTTAGAGCTAATTTAACCAAAAACTACAAAAATAAAAATTTCACTGAGGGAGTTGAACATTTTTTACACCAACAAAAAATTCCGAAGTCATTATATGAATTATTTATGAATTAAACTAGGGCAAAACTTAATTTGTTGACAATGAGATAATATTATGGATGCCAAAAGAGATAAAAAGTTAAGGGAAGCTTTTATATAAAATATATATAATATATATTTTTAAAAGTGTTAAGGGTATAAC